ACAGTCTCCATAACTTTAAGCAGAACTCCAGGATCTGTGGTTCTGCATTGCCCAAATACACCCCTCCTGATATGACATATGAAATATAATGCTCATGTGACCGTCCATGTCCTTTTCTCCCTCCAAAAGCTATGGTGGGTCCAAATAGATTAATAGTGAAGGCTATGTCACAGTGATGTGTGCTACTTGGAACTTCCAGGGGTGGTGGAATGGGCAATGCCTAGAGGTGTTGCCAGGGTGATCCACACTTTACAGTCTTGGCATCACTTACCCACTGGTGCTTTTTAATTACACCCCCTATAGTGCAGAGATCTACAGGGGTCTTTGATGACCAGGCCACTGACTTGACACCTACACTGTGCAAGGAGTCATGTGACCCAAAAGTAGAGTGGGTGCCATGGAAAGAGGCCACATTTATAACATCTAAAACTGCAAGGGGAAGAATAACATAACTCAGCTGTGGACATTGGGGGTATTACAAATGTTCCAAAAAACGTAATCAAAGTATATAGCATATGGTGTGTGGTATACTCTGCCCTTCTCCCCCACTTCTGCTGCTGCCCTCATATGTGATGGCAATACCTAGCTGTCAAAATGGAGAGATTTCCTCTAATTTCCTGTTGTATTTACAAGACAGGAAGTGACAGAAAACTCATTTGACACAGATTCCAAAAAAAGTACAGCAATTTTACCCATTCCATACTCTATCCAAAGGTTTCGGCCACCAAAACATATAAAATTGTGGTGCACCCATGGTTTCTCTCCTCCCTGCTGAGCGCTGCTCTGTGTCCCCTCTGACACAGCGCAGCGTCCAGTGGGGAGGAGAGTAACTGTCAGAGGTGGCCAAGTGGTGCGGGGGAGAGTGCTGTGAACACCTGGCGTGTCACAGGAGGCCAGGCTCTCCTCCCGCACCGCTTCCCCCTCAGCCTCCTCTGACTGATCAGAATGGATCAGAATGGAGAAAAAGCTATGTATGAGCTGGCGGTGGGGGGAGGAGTCAGTTGTTAAAATAGTCAGAGCCCTCCTCCTTAAAATTTCGGCTCAGCTGTGACAGTGAGTCAGGATGGAGAGCGAAGCAGTCAGGGATCAGCTGATTGCTGACTGTTTGTAAATAACTGGACATAGTATGAGTTACTATGTACCAGTTATGAATGAATAGGGAGGGATCTACATCACTTCATGTTCATTCATAATTGTGTATACAGTAACTCATACTGTCACCACAATGTATGAATGAACAGGAACACACAGTATAGAGCATTCCTGTTCATTTATAACAGGGGCAGAAAGAGAGATTTACCCCAACAGTAAAATTAAAAAATACAAATATTTAATACAAATAAATATATAAAAAATAAATAAATACAAATAAAATATAAACAAAATTAAAAGGTTTATTAAAAATATATATATAATTTTTTTTTTTTAAAAGGCTGGAAAAAAAATTAGTTTCAGTTTCGAACTGATATTTTTTTTGGTTTCGGTTTAAAATTTCCATTTCAGTGCACCTCTAGTTTTCATACTTTACCTTATATCTAAAGATCCCAGCACACATACTCCTGCTTTATTAAACCAATTCTACATGCCTTTAGGACTCCTAAACCCCGAGCTGCCCTCTACAGAAAACCTCAAATTCCCCGCCAGAGTTCACCTCTCTACATTCTGACATACCCATCTGCAT